CACAATACCGTTAACGGCAGCAATGGGAAACCCCCGCATTTCATGAGTGCCCTGATCGACAGAAGTTTCGGCACCAACAAAAGCAATGGATTCAGCATAACAAACCCCACCTGCTCTACCTCCGACAACAACTGCCATCCAACCGGCAACCCACATTTCTCGAATCATGATCCCCTACCCAACTACAACACAAGCAACAACATGAATGGAAATACCAACCGAAGCATCTCGCGACGAAGAAGTCGCTTAAGACTCGCTTTCTGGCGTCGCAACACAACAGATAATAGTCGCAGCCCATAACAGCGACGACGGATGAACCTCGGAATTTTCAACGAATATATAATTATCCCTTTTCCTTCCTGCTTTGGTGTTGTATACCTCCTATGGTCGAAATTTCTACGTTAAAGGGAGAAAAGCTGTCCCCTCAAGGACTTTCGACAAGGACGGTGTTCTACGGTGTTGCGTTTGTTAGCCCTGGTTTTAATAAGTGTTCTTTTTGGGATGGTGGGCTGGCGGGGGTGCGGGCTGTCAGGTTGCAACGGATTGGGCATTGGTGTGAAGGGGCATGGAATTGTTCGGTGAAAATCATTATCATCATATACCACCTCTCTTTTCCCTTTTTTTTTTTTTTTTATTCTTTTTTGGTAGGGCGATAGCATACGGTGTATGCTATCTATTTCTCTTCTCCCTTTGAACGTTATATTCTCCCATCTTAGAATTTGTTATTACCTGTGTATATATTATGTGGCGCGTGTGGTTTCGCTCTTTTATCTTTTTTCAAATGTTTTAGGGATGGGTTGGTGATTTGGTGGCTGATTGGTGTTGGCTTTTTTGCACTTTTTCCCGTTTTCGTCCAATATCTTTCTTCACTTCATGCGTTTTTATATTCTGCATATTTCATCTCCTATCATGGAGAATGAGCCATGGCCTGTGTTGTGTTTCGTCATCTCTCCGCTTTTCTCTTTTTGTGTGTCATATTATGTTTCATTTCCATTTCGTATTTTGGATATTTCTTCCATATACATAAAGTCCATATATGGCTCGAGCTGCATGTTTGCCTCGATGCGGTGGTTATGGGTTTTTCTCTTTTCCCATTCTTCAATACTTCATTTTCGAACATGACACTTCCGTCCAAAGCAGAGCGCATCAATACCAATAGTACAGGAGTCTAGAACCTTTGGATAGGATAAAAGAATAACAGAGCGAAAATTCGGAATATTGAATGTATCATTTTCTAACCAACGCTCACTCTCTTGTAGTTCCTTTTTATGTATGTAAAGTTCCCCCCAGTGCCATCTATGAAGAGCACATGTTAGATTTGCCCTACCATTTAGCAGACCTGCATTTAACCTGCGTTCATCTACTTGTAGATAGGATCGCGAGTATTTGAATTCATTTCACTATAAAACAAGACAGCATCCAATGCAGGGATCTCTCCCCTCCCTTCAAATACAACCAACCGCCACCTTAATTTAAAGCGTTTCATTCGGATCAAGGACAATATCATGCAAGCACAGGTTTTACTCACAATCTTTACATACACCAGCTTCAGCGGTAGTTGATTCCGTCTGTTTTTGCGTCTGCGTCAAGTCCCCTCTTCCCCCTTTCTCCTCAGCGCCAGATACACTATCCCCCTCCCTGCTCCGCTGCTCTGCAAGGGCACGGTCAATATGTCCCAGATCCCGCGAGGGATCAACGACGTTCCGAACGAGGGCTTTTAGCTGTTTAACTTCTATAGAGAGAGGAGGACTATCAGGAACAAAGGAAACGAAAGGTGAAACCTCCACCTTGCCTAGACACATGTAACCCGCAAGGGAACCAACCGAAGATGCCTCTCTTAATCTAAGGAGGGGAATAAAACCTAAGGAAAAGGAAAGGGAACATAAAAAAAAAAAAAAAAAAAAAAAAAAAAAAAAAAAAAAAAAAAAAAAAAACATACCCGGAAACCCCCCCTGCGTCTTCCGGTCCCACAGCACCGTTTCCTCCGTCGAGAAATCAACATTGGATTCATGCAGGATGGATACCGTGAACACCCCCCCGGTGGCGGGGACTAAAGACACCTCTCCCAGCGCTGTGGAGAAGGTTGAAAGAAGTTCCTGCGCGAACTGGATGGAGAACAAAATGACAGATTAGGAAAAATTTGAGCTATATGCGCAATAGAGAGGAAAGAGACGAAAGAAGGGTGGGGGGGGGGGGGGGGGGGGATCATTGGCGTGTTATTATTTCATGGGAGACGAGAAATGGGGTAAAAAGGGTACCCCCGGCGTAGCGGATTCGGGGGTCACCTTCACTTGGGAGAGGGGGGGGGTTCATACATATGCCGCACGAAGCATCCATTTGCACTGTGTGCAATATTTTATCGTCACCCGTGGTAGGTGGATGCGTGCTGTAGGCTTCTCGGTTAGGGGAATTGAGGTTTGTTGATCTTGCTGGTCCCGCTGTTGGGTTTGGGTTTGTTGCTGATCGTCTGCGGGGGCGGGGTCCGTTGGATGTGATTTTAGGTCTGCCATCTCCTTTTCTTCTCCTTTCTTCTCCTTTCTTTGTTTTATGATTGGTTTACTCGAGGCTATTGTCTAGTTGAAATTGGGGTATGGAGCTGAGCTGATGCGAGGAGTTGATGTTGGATGGAGTATTGGTTTCAATATGGAGGGATAGTATTGATGGACGCATTTTGAATTCCCATGTCATGGCAAACGAGATTCACGTTGTTTGTTCTGAGAGGCATTCACGACATGCTGCAACATGGGTTGGAAATGTCAAAATTACATCATTTCGTATGCATCAGCACTATTTCTGGCACCCAGGGGTTCGATGGAGAAATATTCATACATCATATGAGAGATGAGTAGCATATTCTCAAGCTGTATTTTCCTGTCTGTCATTTCTTGCATTTACCGCTAAGCCAGTGCTTCTCACCAGCAACCTCCCAGGTTAAGAGTAATAGTTGTATCTCCCAAATATCAACGACCTAGCCAGACGCTGCAGCATCCAAAAAAACAATCGTGCTGCGACGGAGTATATAACTGAGAAAACACGGAAAACCAGCCTTTGCCGCCCCTTCTCCAGAGTACACTCTCAGATTCGAAATACTTCTTAGATTTCCCATTTCCATGCTCCATCGTCTGGGGAACATGTTGGATACAATATCACCAAAAAGTGGTGGGAACGGATATATCAAACTTATGTATTGGATTCACTGTTTGCTGCCGTTTCGTCCCAAAATCTATTTTACAAGAAAAGATTTGAAGGATGCCACACTGCTCCAGTCCTCACTACCCAAATGATCTAAAACAAACAGAAAAGGAAAAAAGAAATAGCCACAAAAGTAGACTTGAATGAGAAAAGGAATATCGCGTGCATATAAAGAAATGAAGAGAATTCTGCACCACAGTGACTTAAATATTGCAAAACAAAACAGTGGTGAATGACTGATGAAAAGAAGAAAGGGATGAAATGAAAAAAAAATGAAAAGATATAGAAAAGATGAACAGGAGTAAAATGAAAAGGGAAGAAAATGGGTCATTGGAGGAGGAATTTGCACAATTCCCCTTAAAGAGATGGAAAGAAAATGTGAATTAGAGACAAAGGAAACAATAAAAGTTATGAAACAATGATGTAAGTTAGAGAGAATAGAGACAAAAGTTTACTAATCAATCAGCTTGCCAACCCAAGTGGTAGCAAAAAAGGAAAGAAAAAAGAAAATAGGAAGATAAAAAGAAAAATGTGTATTTTTTGTGAGTAGCGAATTGTTCAAGGAAGGCGAGTGCATATATCCAACACACAGTTATGAACTACGTTCATTTGTTGGCTTCCTGGAGGCTGATTGTTTCAACAAGGGTGTGAAAACGTAGGGAGCATGAATGACATCTTAACAACCGGTATTGAGAGACCTAGCCTCATTCAATACGCGGGCATATGGGCTACCAGCACCATTCATTCATGGCCGATCGTCTTCGTTGCAAGGAATATGTGGTTGCGTAGATGTTGGTGATATGTCCCAGGTGAGAGATCGAGGGGCGTGTCGAATAAGAGATTAGAGGCGGTAGCTCTCCAGTCATTGGAGTGAGAATTGAAGATTTGCGATCATGGCAAAAAAAAAAAAAAAAAAAAAAAAAAAAAAAAAAGGCCCGGGTATAAAGTACTAAGGGAATAATCATTGGACGTAGTGAATTGGGCCGTTCGGCTCTGCCCATCCATCATCTTACATGATCATACAGCAGCCACCTGATTGTTGGGGTGCGTATGGATCTTCACGTTTGTCAATCTGTCGTTTGTGGGGAGACACGTCAGTATCGGTGAAGATTTGCAGTTTTGAGAGTCAATGGGCGCAATCATTTACCTGTCCCCAAACTGAAGGTACCATAAAATCCCGTGTGTTATTGCAGTAGTTGATGAGTCTATAGGAAGAGCGAATTTTAAAAGTGGTCAGCCATCATGATCTCTTTATCCCCCCAAGTCCACAGTGCAGTGGCACCAAGATCGGAAACGTGGGTACTATCTAGAGTTGACCAGAACTGATTTCTCAGCAAGTTATGGAGACACTCACGACATGGCAGCCTCAGACACCTTTACGCGCGGTCTTTCTAGATCTTCTTTCAATCGTACGTTGAGCTCATTTAGCCGTCGCAGTTTCAATTCTGCCATGTTCTGCTTCTTGTTTTTTACGTCTCCCCCGGGTCGAAGCTCGTAGGCAGGGGCCATTGTGAGGAAGGGATGGCCCGAATTGCCGTTGTGGGAGGAGCTTAGCAATAGAAACGAATCCGCAAGCGAGGATTAGAGAGGGAGGAATTCGGAGGAGGCTAGGAAGAATGAGATTCTGGGACCAAACCTGGGAGGTTTTATGGGAGAATAGACTGGTCGTGGGTGGTGGTGGTGGTGGTGGTGTGGGGGGGGGGGAAGAGACACTGTACCTAGAATGGTGTGGGATAGGGCGAGCGCTGGCTCGAAGACGCGAATGGTGTCGATGCCGTTGATGGACAGAGGGGTTGAAGTCGAGCAAGTCAGAGAGACAAGAAGTGATGATGGGCAGCGGTGGTTGATCGAGGAGACAGAAGAGGGATTCGGTAGTTGGTTGGTAGGCGGTAGGCGGTTGTTGGTGAAGGGGCAAAGGAGAGGGAGAATAGCGAACTCCCAAGGCTAAAAACAGAGCCGGCTGCGTGTAATTGGACGTAATCTAGGAGTAATGGGGATGTTAGTGGCCGGTACTGCTATACCGCCAGCATGCCCCAGAGCGGCAGGTCACAGGGCAAAGAGTCGTATTTGGGAGGTATTTACCAGGTATTGGCGCGTATCCTGGCGTATTAGGGTCTCTCTTTGGCGGAAGGCTGGCTGTCATTTTGGTATTTTAATAATCAAACAAAGGTGGGTTTGGTGGAGCTTGACAGATGTCACTCCACACAAAATTCCGCAGTGAGGGTACCTATGCGTCAGCCCTCTCGTCCCAAAGTGCCGGGATGGAACGAGACGGATTCTCCATCGAAACCTTCTGATTTTGGTCGTGATTCCGACCTGTAGAGCCATGATTGGGCCAGGGAATTACATTATTTTTTCGCGTTTGTCTCTCGTCGCTCACAGAAACCGGGCTGGGGCCGGCCTTGAAGGCGAAAATGGACGACACATTACACATTGAAGCGAGCGAGAGATAATAGATCGGAGAAGTTTTGGCTATCATTGTCATTCCCGAAATTCGGAGCAATAAAATACAGTACAAATAGATATTTTATCTGCAACATTTGGAATCTCTCTCTCTGTTGTTTATCATCTTGAGGTGCTCTGTTACTTAGCTCCCCTGCCGACAAGCGCTCTTGACATGCAATATGCGGCTCTTCAGACAACCAGCACTTGCTTTTCAGTTGCCTGTACCCCGAATCCCGACAGTCCTCTCTTCATTGTTGCTCTCGCAGGTTTCTCTTCTGCCCTATGCCTGGCGGTGGTCTCTGCGTGCTGCGCACATACCTACATCAATCACCAAACTGACACATGTACAGAGAGTGAGTGCTGTGCAGTGAGATGCCCTTCACAGGCCTGTCAACTGGCGTCAGGGCTCTTGTCAAGCGTGCCGGACTGTTTCCTGGCTTTGCCAACCCTGCTCGTATTTTATAATGATTTTTATTTTTCCGAGGTCCTCCCTCTTCCATGTTATTGGCTACCAGCCGTTTGCTTCTCCCTATGTCCTGCAGCCGGGTCAGCCTCGATGGGGACTCCGGAGAGAGGAGAGAGGAGGGAAAATAAGCCCTTGCCCCGTTTCTTGGTTTAGCGCGGTTTAATTTCGGCCAGGGTTTTCTGGAACGAAGCTACCTGTCTACTAGCAAAAATTAGCAAAAATTAGCAATGCCAACCTCTTGTTATTTTATGCGCCTGTTCCGCCTTGAGATTGGCGTTTTCCGATCGATTTTGCACATCGTCTAAAGAAAGCAGAGGCGGGTTATTCTGCTATGAACAATGGCGGAAAGATGACCTCGAGATGAGACGCTGACCAGACGTTCCTGTCCCCTGTGAAAAGTGTTAGTAAATAGAAAAGTAAGTGGAATTCTTTTTAAATATTAAACACCCAAAGGGCTCCGTTCTCTATATATGAATGGTTCGTCTTAATGTTCCATAATACAATCCTGGAAGCGTGAAATAAACCCAACCACACAGAAATTTGCAATGAGCAGTTAGTTACCCGGAACTGCTCTCTGCAAGAACCTAGTTTTAAAACGCTCAACTCACATATCAATGCAGCAGGTGCAACATCGGTACAATGTCAATGAATGAATGTATGTATATCAGCCAGTCGACTGTCAGGCATCACCATGATAGTTCTTGCAGTGTTGGCCTTGCGAGACATAGTTTTCTTCCTCCTATGGCCAGTGGATATGCGCCAATTATCTGCGCGAATTGATTTGATGGCTCCCTTGTTACTACATTTCATCTCCTTGCATGCATTGCTCCATCTATCCCTGAGGACTCCCAGGTGGGTTATATAAATATACTGGCAAGTTAGGAGCGTTAACTAGTTAGTTAACTACTGGAAGCAGTGATTCTTTATGATATAAGTAACATCACATAGACATCCTGCAAATGCACACACAGTCTTGCCCCCTTCAATGAGACAATAACAGCATTCCTTAATAGCTATATCCCATCCCTGCAAAGAATGTTTATACAAGTGGACATTTAAAGCTGCCAAAAGCACCGAAACACACCCAATCAGGGTCACATGTGGGCACAAAATTCTCCATGCCGTGACCGCAATTTCATAAATCGAGGGGTTCAATTGTTTCGATCTCCCTTCTTCAAAAGCTGTGCATGTAATTATTCAGGAAAGGGTTCCTTCTGTGTCACTCCCCATGATTTACTTAATTCAATTTCATTTTAATGTGGTTTTGCCATTCTAGCTTCAATGACTCTGATGACCAGGTTCTATTTTCCTAGGCTTTTTGCCCTATATCTACCTTGGTAGTTATACCAGCTACATGCAGGCAGGTAGTTATCAACTGTTAATGAAGCCCCTGACCTAACCAGGGCGGCAGTTCGAAATATTGGTGAAAAGCGGGAGTTTACCATTTTCACTTCCTCCCTTTTCTTCTATTTAAAAATTAAAAAGATAACTATCACTACGAACTACTCAACCGTATTTCTCAGATAACTAATCTTTGCTGGAATCACGTTGCGTCGCTTGTTGCTTGTCAACTTCTGCCTCTGTTCATTGATCGCATATTTAAGATACATTTTCAACCATTATCACATCCGACGATAATAGAAACCGGGTTCCGAGGGCTTCCCTCCAAAAGCTGTTTCGATATTATTATCCGTGGCTTTTGACATCATTCCTTGACGAATGCCTGGACGGATGCTTCAGTGGAATTCTTTTCAACACCGATAGAATATGAACCCTCTACAGCCTTTCACTACCTCTCCCACAGATTCCACTGTAAGCATTCCTTTCCACCATTGTCCTTATTCTCAACACTTTTTAAAACCAAATTTTTGTTATAGATGCCCCCATTGTTGCTCTCAGGAATTGGTTGAAGTTAAATCACGTGACTTCCCGCCTAACGCAGGGCTTATGTAAGACGGTTGGCCCACAGGATTTTTCGCCCTCAGTTCGCACAACCACAAAGAAGTTGAACTCCATCATCGGAAAGAAACTCGCAAATTTCTTCTCCTTTGCCAGTACCTTCATCGCGTCGTTGGCTGTCTCGATCCATTCTGCACGCGTGTGCCTCATCGAGACTCCACGATCCGGTACCCTTCCACAATAGGAGAAGACCCTGCCCGTTTGTCTGACGGGTTTGAGTCTTTTGTCCTCATCCACGCTCGTCCTCGTTCGACCTTTGTGTGTTAAGGGGGAAGTTTACCCAGCATGCCACCTCCACCCCATATCAGGCCTGAGAATGTCCTCAGGGTAAGGTTTCTGTCTATCTGGAGAAGGCATATTGTCTGGAATCGGGGAACTGACTATTTTTTCGCCTGTTGATAGCGAGCTGAAGAGCTCATTGCCGTTGGCCAGCAGCAGGCTGCGCTAACGGTTCTCCATGAACAAGTGGCCTCCAAGCGATCCCGAAACACCCCCATCGCAAGCCTTGAACCGGTTATGATTCTTTTTGTCGAGCTATGTGTCGATCTTCGAAAAGGCAAATCTGCAAAGGAAGGACTTTATCAATACAAGAACATTGCGCAAAACAGCAATGTAGGGACAATCGAGGTAGGCCATTTTCCATCTTAACATCTCTGTGTACCTGGGTTCAAGTTCAAGTATTGCTATAATTGTTGGAGTAAGGATTGGTTGGATGGATAAATGGTTGAAGAATTCTGTACTGACGCTAACTTGCCGATTTTCTCTCGAATATAGATGGTTTTGAAGAAGTTTATTGAACTTGCAGAGCAAAAAGTTACGGAAGCTCAAGCCAAAGCTGATGAAATCCAATCTTCTCTGGAATCATCTGCCCCTTCAACAAACATCGAAGATCTTGACGCCATCGAGACGCCGGAGACGATTCTTCTGGCAACTGTTTCTGGCGAACAGTCTCGAGATAGAACGGATAGAGCAATTGTTACGCCATGGTTGAAATTCCTGTGGGAGACATATCGGACCGTGCTTGAAATTTTGAAGAACAATGCACGCCTTGAGGTCATGTATCAAACGACCGCTCTTCAGGCTTTCCAGTTCTGCTTGAAATACACTCGCAAGACCGAGTTCCGTCGGCTTTGCGAATTGCTCCGTAATCACGTTCAGAATGCGGCCAAGTACTCTAGCCAGATGCATGCTATCAACTTGAGCGACCCGGAGACTTTGCAACGCCATCTTGATACCCGTTTTCAACAGTTGAATGTCGCAGTCGAGTTGGAACTATGGCAGGAAGGTTTCCGAAGTGTTGAAGATATCCACACTCTTCTCAACCTTAGCAAGCGGCCTGCCAAGAATGTCATGATGGCCAATTACTATGAGAAGCTCACCCGTATCTTCTTGGTTAGCGAAAACTATCTCTTCCATGCGGCTGCATGGAACCGTTATTATAACCTCCTCCGTCAGTCTGCTGCTGCCATTGCTGCAGGACAAAGCACTAAAAAGGAAAACCCGGTTGTGACTGAAGCTGAGATGACGAAGACTGCTTCCTTTGTTCTTCTTTCGGCACTGTCCATCCCCGTTATTAGCACTTCCCGTTCTCGTGGAGCACTGGTTGACGTCGACGAAGTCCGCAAGAATAAGAATACTCGTTTGACCAATCTTCTTGGCATGCCACAAGCTCCCACCCGTGCCGGCCTGTTCAAGGACGCCCTGAACAAGGGTTTGCTTTCACGCTGCCGCCCTGAAATTCGGGATTTATACAACATCTTAGAGGTTGATTTCCATCCTTTGTCAATCTGCAAAAAGATCTCTCCAATCCTTACCCAGATTGGTGCTGACCCCGAAATGGAAAAATACGTGCTTCCTCTTCAACAAGTCATCCTTACAAGACTTTTCCAACAGCTTTCCCAGGTCTACGAATCCGTCGAAGTCAAGTTTGTCCATAAGCTCGCCCAGTTCCCCGAACCATTCCAGGTTACTCCTTCAATGATTGAGAAATTCATCATGAATGGTTGCAAGAAGGGCGACTTAGCGATCCGGGTTGATCACGTTTCTGGAGTCCTCACGTTTGATTCTGATATCTTCTCTTCTGCCAAGGCGATGCATCCTGGAAGTGCCGCTGGGTCTGCTGAAAGCGAAGTGGGATCGGTTCAGCGATTGCAAAGCACCCCTGCAGAAATCGCTAGGTCCCAACTTACACGCCTGGCGAAAACCCTTCACCTCACTTGCATGTATGTTGACCCATCTTATAACCAAGCCCGCATACAAGCCAAGCAAATTGCCTTGGCTAAGGCTAAGGCTGGTGCTGCAAAAGAGCACGAGGAGACGCTTGCCCGGAGAGTCGTCATTGAAAAGAAGAAGGAAGCCGCATTGGAATCACTTCAGAAGAAGCAACAAGAGGAGGAGAGACGCAAGCGCATTCGTACGCAGGAATTGCAAGAAGCCGAGAGACGGAGACTGCACGATGAACACCTTGAACGGGAGCGCAAGCGTATGAAGGATGAACAAGATCGTATTCGGCAACAGGAATTGAAGAAACAACTTGAGGAACTCAAGACGGGCGTTAAGGGCATTGATGTTAGCGAGATCAACTTGGAAGAATTGGATAGTAACAGCCTTCGAACTATCAAACTTGCTCAACTCGAAAAGGAGAAGAATGAATTGAACGATCGTGTCCGAATAACCGCCAAACGTATTGACCATTTGGAACGAGCTTATCGTCGGGAAGAACTAAAATATCTGCCTGCGGATTACGATGCACAGAGGAAACGTGATATTGAAATCTACGAAAAGAACAAGGCAGATACCCTGGTCGCTGCCGAGCTGAAGCATAAGGAAGATGTTGCTCTCAAGCATCGCCTAAGTCGTCTGGTGCCCTGCTTTAACGAATTCAGAAAGAACCTCCAAGAGAAACGACATGTTGAATTCGAGAAGAATCGCAAAGCGGCAGAAAGGGAGTTCGAGAACAAGAAGAGACAGCGAATTAAGGAGGTGCAGGAACGTCTGCGACGGGAGCGTATGGAACGAGAGGAGGAGGAGAGACGCCAACGCGAGGAACAGGAGCGTATCGAAAAGGAGGAGCAAGAGAGAGCTGCTCGGGATGCAGAGCGGCGGCGTCAACTTGCTGCAGAAAAGGCTGCCAGAGAAGAAGAACGAAGGTATGAATTTCCTGCCAAATTGTGTCATGACTTCACCCTCTTTACTAACACACTACCCAGAATACTCGATGAGAAAGCTGCAATTCAAAAGAAACGAGAGGAGGAAGCCGAGGCCAAACTCAAAGCCCGCAAAGCTGGTGCTGTTCCGGTTCGCATGGAGCGCACCGATTCTACCGAGCGCACCGCTCCGAGACTTAATCTTGCTGGCCATACCGGTCCTAGCTGGAGAGAACGTCAAGCTGCGAAGGAAGCGGAGGCTGCTGCTGCTGCTGCTGCTGGCACCGCCACTCCTCCGGCTGAGGCCACAGCATCTTCTACCCGAGAAGAGCTTCCACCTCCCCGAACGACTGGTGGATACGTTTACCCACAGCGACGCGCTGGTGCTGGTGGTCGCGATTTCTCCACAAACACTCCAGGTGAACGGATGCACGAACGCATGCCTGAGCGTGGTCCTCCACGGTTCAGCAGGGAAGCCGTCCCTCCCCCCAAAACACTTTCCAGAAGCCCAGCACCGACAAACTCTTCTCCTGCGCCTGAGGCTCGCGATGGCTCCACTCCCACTGCAGGCGGAACGCCAGGGGTATGGAGACCGAAGTTTATGCAACAACAGCAACAACAGCAACAACAGCAGTAAAGAAAGGGTTAAGTAGATGATATCACTAGCGGTCGGATATGTGAGAGTTTTTTCCTTCTTGAATCTTTTTTGACATGCTTTCGCATCTTGTCAATTTTTACTTCTCAGGACATGGGAAAGAAGTCGGATGATTCAATAGCTTTTCTAGTTGTATTTTCGTTTCCTTTCATTCCGTTTCATTTTACGCTCAGTTCTTTAAGTAATTTTTTTCATCTGTATGTTCCTATAGCCCTTTTTCAATTTTCTCTATTTTTTTTGCCTAATTGCACACAAACCCATCAAGAGCCGAACATGGTGATGAGATGAGACGATGTTAAACAATGCTCTATCCCAGGTTTCTTGAAGCATGCACGTAGTGCAAGCTGAATGACAAAAAGATTGTTATTGTTTCCCCTGTTATCAAGGTTTTTGCTTTCGTCTCCATTCCATCCTGATTTTGTTTATTTTTTCCTATTGATTCTCTTTCATACTTCCTGTCGTCGCTGTTACGTTATGGATACGAAAACCTTCTAGTATTGTGCCACTAAATGCCCAAACTTATTGTTCTAGCAAATTGTCAGTGTTGCATTATGTGATATGCCTTTTGAACATGATACCGCTAACTAACTTATATTCATTTGTATTTTCCGTAGCGAGAATTCTACTTGTTCATTTTTATTACGACGCTTATATAGCGTGACGAGTAGTTAATGTGTAGGAATATCGATGGTTGCCCCTCCATTGGTGTCCGTATCCCTCTTAGCCACCTTGTCATCCACACTCTGGCCTTCAAGAGTATATGCGTATACAAACATTAATTTAATGGATGAGCACTGTGCTCTGTGTCCGTCATCTCTGTTCTACTACACACCTAGCGAGTCTGAACCGAGCAGCCAAGAACGCCATGAACTGTTCCATCAGCCATGCTTCGCCTGTTCACTTGCTGCCACACCTGAAAAGAAATCTAAAGAGTCCAATTAATGTTACTCTTGTCAACATTTACGATTAAGGCATCTCGTAAAATGCGTAAAAGCCAGATATCCGCCGGAAGTTTCTGTTCCCAATGCATAAAAGAACTGCTTGCTCAGAATGACCATCAGAACAACATTCGCAGGACAGAAATAATTGTCCTCTTTGACGTTTTGTCAACCACATAAGCTTAGTTCTAAACGGTTATCGCAAGTGAATAGAGCTAAAAAATATGATGTCGCTCTCTATCTGGGGTCAGATCGAGATCAAGACTCGCAAAAGGGAACGTCATCAATGTCTCCCCTGGCTGATATTTATGTCAGTTATCAGGATAAAGATGGACTGTCGAACATCTGGGTTGGCGATGTTCATATTGATGATGTTACGGAATGTAAGGCTTATCGGCCATTCAATTCTGTTCCGTGTATGGAAATAACAACTTTGCTAAATTGGGAGAACAAGAAGGCTCCAATATCCCACACGTTGGGGAAAAGGTATCCTGGTCCCGTTTAGAGGACGGTGTAAACGGATGCTCCAAAACACATAGCGAGTGCCAGGGTGGTACCAGCTCTGGAGCCTCCTTACTACCCGCGGGCTTCCCCGTCATCGATGTTATCAGCCGATGCAGACTGCCGTCGTTGTGTTGCCCTAAACTACGTATGGGGTGTGGAGAATGCGCGATCACCGTCGCTGCTTGCAGCCACCCGTGCGACGATTAGTTGGTAGAAGAAAGAAGGCAGTCTTCCTGCGTCTGGATTGTCCCGGACCATAGGAGATGCAATTACAGTTTGCGTTAGGATGAGCCAGAAGTATCTATGAGCAGACACGTTTTGCATTAACTATACAAGATGATAATCAGGATAAAAAGAATCAGATCGAGGCGATGAACAGTATCTTTTCCTCAGCACAGATTGTGCTCATAGCAGCATACGGCGATGGCATGGATTTTGGAATCCCGGGTGTCAACAGTTTGAAAAGAGAGGGGTAGTTCAGGAAAATGCAAATATTCTGGATTTGAGAATTAGAAACGTCGTTAGAGAAGCTGAGGTTGACCCCCTGACAGTGTGGGAAACATGTGGATGGACATACCAGGAAGCAGTTCTCTCGCGAAGGCGACTCTATTTCACAAATACACGCGCTGTTTTCGAATGTAAACGATCAATGTGCCATGAAGATCAGTTCAATGGTGGAAGGAGTCCAGATGGGCTCATTTCGAGCAGGCTCGCTATCTCTGACGATGAGTCCCCTTTTCAATAATTTTCGAGGCATCTGAGGCATTACACTTCCCAAAAGCTCAAGCATCGATCTGGCGCGTATGACGCCTTCTTTTTCATCTCCAAGTCTTTATAAGATGATGATGATGATGATGATGATGATGATAAACGGGTTACCTCGAGTAGAATTTGACCGTGCGCTGTTGTGGTACGCTGACGTCGGCATAAATTCTCTGTAACCCGCTTGGAAACGACCCAAGGACCGATCTTACCGACATCGTCATGGTCTTCGATTATGGGACTATCTGATGATCAGATTCACTACCAAGCAACAGGTTTCTACGGAACTTTAGTGCCCTGGCATGATATAACTTCAACAGTCCCTCCCCCATCTGGGTCGATAGAGGTCTTCAACATTAGCCCTGATTCCAATAATCCGGATGATGACTGGCAGATCTATATGGCCATTGCATGTAGGGAAGGATGTGTGGAAGAACATATACCGTCACTCCTTTTCTCCCCCACGACTCATGACTTCGGAGGGGTTCGTGCGATGTTCGACATGCGCTGGAGAGATTCCTCTAGCTTCTGCAAGGAGGCGATACCTTCAACCACCAAGGCAAGTGAATTACCACTACCAACAGTTACACATGTTACAAAAGTAAGACCGGGAGGAATCATAGCAAGAAAATGCCAAGCAGCGTTTCTCCATATGTCTCCAAGGCCTTCAAATTCCTTCAACATCAACGAAGATGGAGAACGAATCGGGGAAATTGTGCAGGGATACAGTAAAACTCAGAAGAGAACAGGCTCTGGCTGCTTCGCCTGGCCATAGCGCACCATCGAACCTCACGTTCGAATTCATTGCCATTTCATTGTCTGGCATCAGGATCATGCTTTATTGGGCCGAAAAACTATTCTGATGTTGATGGCAACATCCTGGCTAAGGTGCCACCAATTGTGAATGTTTTGATGATTACCCGGGACGGGGTTTTGCACGTCGTCGTGAGCTTGGCTGGCTATACTTGGTTGATTGGGTTAGATTGCGACGAGATTTGAGAGTGGTTGTGCTTGCTTGATGAATGAAGGGCATTTTGTTTGGGTTGATTAGTTATAGGATAACATCAGAGGGTACATGAATCCTTAACAATTATAGCCTAGATATTATTCTCTTGCGAGAGGATTCGCGACCCTTTTCTATGAAATTGTTGGTGAGTTTAGTGGAGATAGGAGTGACATGTAAGGGGAAATAGTACATATATCAACTTGAGTAACCAATCCTTATAAGAAAGGGGACATATATATGTGTGTAGTAATTGCAAGAAAACAATATGGTAATATGTATATGATATGGTGAAGAGTAACGGAGAAAATACGAGAAGTAGAAAAGGAACGGAAAGAGGGGAAACACAGATATAAGGGGGAAATTAGTAGAATAATCTTCTAGAAACACCAGGAATCCATCCATAAAGAAAAGAGCTAAGGGAACGGAAATGCAAACAAATGAAGACTGCACAACCGGGTGGGAAAGAAAGGAGAAAGATAACACACCTATCCGTTGTGTCTCAACGTCGCACTGCTGTAGTGTACGATCCAGAAAAAAGGGTAAACAAAAATATATATAGATCTATGATGCGGCGGCAACCTCTGGCCCAAAAAGCCGTGCCCTCCACTCTCCACACACAGCTTCAAAGCCACTCACCACATCTCCGCAAACTCTTCCAGCTTCCCGCTCTTGCAATCGCCTATCCCACTCTCCCTTCTCGATCCATCTTGTTCCCTCCTCCCGTCTCTCTTCTTCCCTCTGCATCTCCGCGACCAGTTCCCGCACGGACTTGAGCCGCCGTGATGCCGCCGAGAGAAGCTGGCGGGACTCGTGGATGGTATCATTGAGCGCCCGAAGAGTGTGGGTGAGATCTGACGTCTGGGAGAGGAGTGCTTGGAGAGAGCGCAGGGGATCGGCAACGGAGGTTTGAGATTGTTGGGAATGCGGGGTTTGGGGGACGGGGAAAGGGAGGTTTGGTAGGATGTCATTTATTAAGGGGACGAGGTCGTCTATGTCTTCTGAGGACAGGATAGGTAAAGGTGAAAAGAGAAGGGGGTGGGTGAGGGTTTGTAATGCGCGTGTCTGGGAGGTGAGATGGGAGGTGAGGGATGCGTGGGCGGTGATAAGTCTGGAGTATGTTGTCAGTAAGGAAATATATTTAATGTGTATCACAGAGGTAAATACTCTGTAATATTGAAGAATAAGGGCTGATAATCCACCATACCTAGTAGCACTATTCTCAATCCCGCTCTGGCCAACTAAATCCCGCAAGCTCTCGATTATCCGCTGTACGATTTGCCCCGAAGACCCATTGTTTCCTGTGCTCCATCGAACAAGATTTTCAAGCCCAGCCATCCGCGCCTCCAGTCCTGGGGTAAGGTCACCGGGTTCTCCAAAATCCGAGTCATTACCATAATCCGAGCCGTCATAGAGACGTTCACGCCGGCGAGACCTTTGTTGTTGCCCGGCTTTTGATTTCTGCTTTGGAATCTGTAAACTCTTCCAATTTGACTCTCGATCTCGTGAATGCTTCTCGTCTGAATCGCTCCTAGTATCGTGTGTCGGCCTAGTCGTTGAATCATCTTCCTTTTCATATATCTGTACGTGATCATGCTCTTCATGGAACCCAGATTCGTCTTCTTCGCATTCCCCGTCCTCGTCCCAAGCATCTGCCAGTTCGTCTGCAAGGTTCCCCAATCCGCCTCCACCAGAGTCCGTCTGGGCCGTAAAATCCACGGAAAACCTTGCTGATCTGTCCATCGCCTCTGAGCTAGGTTGTCTGGGGCTCATGGGTGACATTGGAATGGGATATCTTGGAGTTTGCGGTGATTGTAAGGGACTCTGACTGTATCCACTTGGAGTAAAGGCTGAAGGGGAATCAGATGAAAGATCTAGGTTGGATGGGTTTCTGCGTCGTCGAGACGGCGGTATAGGGGAGGATGGAGACATTATAGCGAATTGTAAGATGAGACTGAGACACGGAAAAGCCGAATAGGAGCTATTATAGCGGGGAGGAGGAAGGGCTGCGAGGCGCGTGCATAAGTAGGTGATAAATATTGAACGATATTAAATATTTATCCTATCCAAGAAACAGCAGCGCTTCTTTAGCGTCTTTGTTTTCTGTCTTTGCAGCTGCTAAGTTTTATTTTTGTTTATTAATATAATTTTTGTTCACGGTTCCCTGCTTGGTAAATATTCAGGTGAACAGTCCTGCACGCCCGGGCCTGGTCAGGCGTTGGCTCCGATCCTTGGAATTAAGGGCTGGGTTCCACCGTACTTGGTGTTGACATCGGAGGAATTTGCCAGCACATGAACAACAATAGCTGGATGAGAGGTTCTTAAAGTCGTGTGTATCCAAGAAGCTTTCTCTGTGCCACATGGAAGCCGATGACAGGACAGGAGAGAATCTGCACAGCGCATCAAAATGGCAGCGTGTTTGCATCCCCATCAGTGAAGTTGTTCATCTTTTTATTAATTTAGTTTATTTCTTTCTATTGTTGTTTTGCCGAGTTGGTACAAGCCCGTTTCGAGATCCCGTGACTTGATCACTCAGCGACATCACTGATTTGTATCTGAGATACAAGATACAGATATATTATTTCATTTCCAATCACCCAGCATAAAACGGCATTAAACAATATCAGAAAGCTAAATACTCGGGATAGCTCAGGTCGCCGTCGTACCTGAATCGTGTTCATTGGCCGTGCAAATATCTCTGGAGGATTGCAAACTGTGTGCAGCAAGTTTTCCTGCTGCCCGCACTTCGCACAGCTCAATATCAGGTTCTATATTTTCTCTGCGCAAGTACAGAGTTCGCCAAACACATAGCCAGAACAAGAGGAAATACTCCAAATGAGCCATGGCCACTGTCCGGCGCATGACACCCACCGATCTCTTTTCCCTCAACCTGACCAACCTCGACGCCCTAACGGAAAACTACGACCTCCATTTTTATCTCAATTACCTCATGAGATGGCCCTCTCTCTTCAACGTAGTCGAAGATCGAGATGGCCAAATAATAGGCTACAGTATGTCCGTTATGGATATACCCCATATTGTTGCGGGTTAGATCTTATCTGAACTGCAAACTAACTTTCTTCGACACAGTAATGGGCAAGCTTGAGGCCCAACACTCGTCAATGAGACACTCAGAACACTACACGCCATGGCATGGTCACATTACAGTATTAACGATTGCACCCGCCTGGCGCAGATTGGGCTATGCGCGTCGGCTGACAGAGAGCCTGGAACGGGTCTCTGATATCAATGATGCATGGTTTGTAGATTTATATGTGCGAGCGGGCAACACGATTGCCGTGGGAATGTATAAAGGGATGGGGTACGTCATACACATACACATACATAACATATTTTTCTATTTCAGCTTTCCTTCTCTATTTTGTCCTCATAGAACGTTGCTTTAACTTCATCTTTCTCTACAGGTACTCCGTGTTCAGACGTGTGGTCAATTATTACAGTGATGACCCCACAGGTCTCTCAGAGGAAGGGGAAGATGCGTTTGACATGCGAAAACCCCTCAGTCGTGATAAAGATCTCAGACATACCCGTGAGAACGGGGAAAACTTTTTGGTCAACCCGGAAGATGTATATTAGATAGGGGAGGAAATCGCTAACAACTCTCTTTTGGTAGGATCTTTAACTAGTATGACTATAGATTTATAATTATGCATGATAGATTTTGTATGATTTTAAAATTATTCTTATTATCGTTGTTACTCCTGTTATCTAGCTAGAGTTGATAAATATTTCGGCTGTTGCTATTTCTGTACCAAGGCAAACGCAGCACCTTAGAAACCTGATCTCGACTTCAACTCCGTGTCAGGAGAGGAGTCTCTGAAACAAGTAAGCATAAAAGCGTAATTTGTACTATTCTATTCAAAGTGATAAAACAACTAAAGATAACTAACGTACGTGAACGATACGAATGAAGACAATATATGAGATCAAAAAAAAAACATCACCAAGACAGATATGAATCATGTATATACAGTTTTAATAAATGCCTATATCAAATAATTCTAAGGAAAGAGAAAGAAAGAATGCCTGCCTATTGGTAGATGTCGCATGGACTAAAAGTTTCGGCCAAGTAAGCAAGATGCGAGCGACCATCATTATACCAGTGGAGACAAAAAAGCAGATGCCCACCAGCACTGATACGCCCACATAGCTCCCAGTGAGATGCACGATAGCACCACCGATCGGAGTCCCATTAGTGAGCCCGAAGCGCAAAAGACAAACGACATCCCCAAGCGCGTGCCAAATCTCGCATATCAGTGGTTATGTTCATAACCGCAATAGGTGCCACAGCGACGAACCCCGCCGCGGTAAATCCGTACAATACTACTAGAGCAATTAAGCCAGCCGCGTTGTGTATTCCAACCCACGCAAAATCAAGGATGCCAATGGCGAGAGTCATTGGTATCATGATATTCAGGGGGCCGATGAAATCGGCGACGTAGTTAGGGAGGATACGCCCGACTGTTGAACTTGCGTTGAGAATGGCAACCAGGTAAAACGCCAACTTTTCGCTCATTACGCCATTATCAATCGCGTAGGGCTGTACGTAGACGAGCACGTTATAGAGACCAACGAAACCGACGAACTGGGCTATGCAGAAGAGACAGAACGCCGGCTCCTTGAATGCCGAAAGCTGCACGAGAGCACGCTTCTCCTGTGGCTTGAATCGTATATGGAGCAGAGACAGTGATATCAGCCCCGTGGTAAATGCGTATAGCCTAACACCCGAGTGGCCCACGCAAAGCCGAGTTTCAATTGAACCTGGCGGAACATTACGGGGTAAACCATCCCGCCAATGCCAGTTCCCAAAGCTGCGATTCCGTTGGCCAGGTCTCGTCGACGTTTGAAATACTGCGGAAGAACCGCTACGCAAGAAACAAAGACCATTCCGCATCCTAGGCCGATGCAGAAGACCTGCGAAAGCATGATCTGCCACAGCTCAGTGGATATACTGGTCGTCATGAGCCCGAATGAGTAGAGAAACCAGCCACCCATCGCCAGCATTCGGGTGTAGCCAGCATCGAAAAGAGGGCCCGTGACGGCACCTACGAATAACAAGAGAAACGCCTGGATGGAGCCGATCCATGATATTGTCGATGGGGAATCGCCCACAAGAAGTTGTTGTTCATAGTACGTTTGAAAACTGCCATATGCGATCACAAGTCCCCTGTATCATTGATATTATTTCGATATTAGCTACGGTGATTGAATACAGACAGGCTCAAAAGTCTCGAAAAGATAAGATTGATCTTCATGGCTACTAAATACCAGGTATTGAAGAATAGGAAGAAAGACGCCAGAACTTGTGACCATGCCTTCCAGCCATGATCATAGCAGAGCTCTTCATTATCGCACGATAATATCTGGTTCTTAATTTGTGGCTCTTTCGTCTCAGAACTGCCCGATGAGGAAAAGCATGTCGACTCAGAGACCGGGTGAACCTTTTCATCTGCCGGTTCTCCCATAACCAATATGGGTCAGCCGAACGTAAACCTCGGGACGTCGAGACATAGCCAACAACAGACCAAAGGAAAGTGTATACAAATGAAAAGAGAGGTTGTCACTGAATATATTCAACCTTACGAATGGACTTCATAATGGCAAGAAGAGAAGACAAAAATGATCAGAAGCAAGCACTGGGAACATATGAGCATATGTAGGGACAGCAATGCCCGACTATTCTATAAAATTGACGATGGAGAAACCTTTGGCTGCGGCCTCTTTTGAGGGGAGGGGGGGAAAGATTCTTCCACATATTGTTGTCACTGCTCTCACATTTAGTGGGTTAGGACTGGACCGGATAGTTTTCCTCTGCGGTAGATACTGCGGGGTTTTGGATTCGTGGCAACGGTGAGCAGAAATAATGGAGACAAGATGGGGGTAAGCTTAGATTAGTGAATTACCTGCACCTAGTTGGAAAATAATAGGCTGGTCAGGCCCTATTAGAATCGGCATTTGTTTTACGGGCTTGGTAACATCTGCCTAGACGGGATTATCAACGACTTTTTGGAAAATTGATGGAGCATAATATTGTTGCTTATCCATACAGATATCAAAACAGTAAGGAAAACTGCTTTGGTGTTGTTTGACGTTTGATGTTGGCGTTGGATGAAAGAAAATATTTGGGGCTTAGGGCTAATCCCCCAGCAGCCAACCAAGGGATTGGGGAAGAAACTGTCGATAAGGGACTCTTATTCCACCGCCAACACCAGCTAGTTGCTTGATCATCCGCATATGAAATGGGGAAAAGATCTCAGGAAGAGACGAGCCATAATAAACCCTAAGGTTCAAAGCCCCGGGAATACTGGGCATCTGGCATCTCTTCGTGAGGTTTAGGGACAGGTGCCTGAACAGAGATTGAAGACATGAGGATGTTAGATGGCGGCGATTGCAAGCCCAACTCTCATGTATAACATGAAACTTCCTGTATGTTGCAGCCGTTAGCGTTGGAACGGCGTTCAATTTGCTGATCTGGTTCTCGAGGTCTGGTATGACATCTCTCTGTTAACATTTAACAGGGGATGGCCCTCTGGCACGCAGCCAATCCCCCACGTTGCACTGAATCTCCTGCATGTTATGCCATACACCAACATCCTCTCCGTCATATCGGATGCATTGTGGTCTTGATACTCGGGTATAGTCGGTCCAACCCGTGGACCGAACTCATATCAATGTGTTATCAACGGCAGTGGAAAAAAAAAAAAAAAAAAAAAAAAAGAAAACATTTTATGGATCTATGGCAATATATAAAGGCAATCGTCTATCTGTTCGCCATCATGTTTCTTCACCAACACTTTTGCTTCTCCTGTTGCTCTGAAAAGTTATTAGTGCAGGGTAAATCGGGTACCCAAAGCGAACCCCCAAACTCCACGCGCTATGCGAAAAACATACATATTAAACATAAGACAGAAACCCACTTTTGCACATTTAGTAATAGAAATTCAAAACAAAGTGATGCGCTCAAAGCAGCTCCTCACAGGTCCAGTCCTCATACCTATGGCAAGGGCCGGGTTAGACACGATTACACCCATGCATATAGGAGCTTAGGCTTACCATCCATCAGGCAGGTATCTCCTGACAATCAGAGGAATCTTTTTCTGGGCAAGCTCCTTCAGTGCGATTTGTAGGGGATCAGTTTCTCCTTCTAGGTCAACAAGGATCGGCGCGTTCATGCTGCACACTATGTCAGCGGTCGCTGTACACTTCGAAAGATTCTTCTCCTAGTACTCTCCCAGGAAAACTAACCTAATTTGTAGCGCTCGTGTACCCAAAACTCGCGCCCGCTCGTATTTTGTCATGTAGGGAGTTGTAGTGCGTTGATCATTGGGGACCTTCTTTTCCCGTTGCTGCAACATGACCTTGCCTTTCGATGCTCCAGCGTTAGGATCACCTGAAGCAACATTTTCAGTTCCATTCTGAATATGTTGCCCATTGCCATTCACTATGGCATAACCTTGTTCGCCCTGTTCTGCCTGCTCTGGTTCAATATAGTCCTCGGGCTCGTTATCAATATACTCGTACTCAGGTGGCTCATAGTCGAATCTATAATACGGAAAGCATTAGCAATATATTTCAAAGAACTGAAACGCCCTTCAACCAATTTCTATCGCGGCCACGAGCTTTGCAGATAGATAGCGACTGAAAGGCGCATCGAGGGTGCTAACCCAGCGTCATCGTGATCTTCGAGATCGCCTCCACCGTAGTCCGACATCGTGTTTAATAAGAGGATTAATGGTCCAGGATTCACAAAATTCAAGGTAAAAGGGCCTGTCAAAATGGGATATAATCAGGCTTTCGGGTTAGGCGTCGGTATCCTGAAAGTGTTTGTTGCTACGTTGTGTCGACCTGGGGATGAGCAAAAGCGGAAAAGTTAAAAACTTCGGGCGCTAGTTAAATAGTTAAGTTATTGCGCTTGTAGATTAGATAAGCGCGCTCCGCACTTTGGCACGCCAAGATTTTCTGACTTAACTCGCAATAATTTTTTACATCGAATTCTCAGCAATTCTGGCTGACAGCTGGGAAAGCGGATACTAGTGCCATCCACCACCTCCCAATGCCAACAATTATGCTCTTTAGTTTCTAGTGAATCTCGGGGATGGAATGTAGTCATGTCGCAGAAACGAAAAGCCTCTTCAGAATCCCAACAAAAGCCAAAACGGTGGCAAAAATCGGCTCCATCAGAATGCTCTGGTAAGCCCTGGAGATAGCTATAAACAGCTCAATTCTCTGACAATTCTGCAGATATTGTCGAGGATAGCTCTCAGTCAGACTCGGAATCTCAATACTCGTACTGTATGAGTCTCGATGGTCAGCAGAAAACGCCAACGCCCATCACACCGGTCTCTCCGGCGCCCTCAAGATACCCATCGGACCGCAAAACACATCTTTGCCTGTATGAAGGATGCCTCAAAGCATTCAACCGGCCTGCACGACTTGCAGAACATCAAAGATCGCATACAAATGAACGTATATTTAACTGCACACATGAAGGCTGCGAGAAAACCTTTCTACGAGCCTCCCATCTCCGCCATCATGTGAAGAGCGCTCATACTACGATTCGAGACTATGTATGTGACAGAGAAGGGTGTGGCAAGACATTCGTCACTGGATCACGTCTACGGAGGCATTTAGCTACACATGAAGGAAGGGATAAGTACAGATGTACTGAATATCCCCCCTGCAACGAAACATTCCGCAAGCATTCCACTCTCCAAAAACACATCATAAGCGCCCATTTAAATAAGAAACCATTTCCTTGTCCGCACGTCGACCCCGTGACTGGAAAGCAATGTGCACAGGGATTCGATACAGCAGGGCATCTCCGGGCCCACGAAGGTAGACTTCATGGTGGTGCACGATTTACTTGCGCGGAATGCACGTCCTCGAATTCAATAAACGATAATACCCCAACCATTTCCTCATTGACAGATGGGACCATGAATATGCATCGGAATGCAGTTTTTCCAACTTACGCTCTACTTCAAGCACACATGAGATCTGTGCACCCACCCACTTGCCCAGAATGCAACATGACTTGTTCATCGGGCCGAGACCTCCGTCGGCATCTCGAAATCACTCACGGAACTATCCCCCTTGAAGAGCGCAAGATCCACCCATGCTACTACCCAGATTGCGGCCGTAACTTCACCAAAAAGGGCAATCTCAACGTGCACATAAAAACCGTACACGAGGGGGAGAAGCGTTTCATCTGTGGTGAAACGGATCTATCCAATTCGAAAAAAGTAGAAGGTTGGAACTCGAAGGATAATGGTTGTGGGAAACGCTACGGGAGCAAGCTTGCGCTGGAAGAGCATGTGCGAACAGCGCATTTGGGCCTGAAGAACGCAAAGGCGGAGCGGAAAGAACTTCTTGGCCTCGCGAAGAATAGCAAAAGCAGCAGTTCTCGAACTAAATCCAAAGATAAACCGAGCCAGTTGGCAACCCCTTCGAATCTCGCCATGTTGACCGGAGAAGGTTACGCAGAAGAATCTGGCCGGAACATCCTATGTTTGCTAGAGCCGTGTGCGCATCGCTTCCATCGGGACTACGACTTGTGGTTGCATATGGCTTCGAAACATAATTTAGAAGATAATGATATTCAGATACTATTTATGCAGCGTACGATGCAGGGCGGGGACCAGAGTTTTGATATCGACTTTGGAAATCTGCAGGGTTATGGGTATGCTCCTGGCCCTGGCGCTGAGAACACCACTGATATTCACGCCAAGGGGACTTTCGATTGTGGTAGGGAATTGATAGTCGGAAGGGCAGCGGATTACAATGCCAATGGATTCGTCTCTACGGGTCATGGCTACGGTATTACCGATATGGCTCTGATTGATCCTGTCTTGACATTTACACATGATCATCAGATGGACGATGAATAAGTTGAGGCATGAAGACTCTGTCGCACAAAAGTTGCTTTATACGTAGTGCACTTGAATCGGTTACAATCCTTGTAATGGCTGTTGGTTGGTTGTTTGTTACCCCATTCAGGAAAAACAGATACGAAGCAATGATATAAATCCATACGTAATAATACAATAATATTTAGCAAAAGTCATGTTTCCTTGGGATGAAGCAAATTGACAATTTGATTTCTTTCCTGCTGTTTACTTGTTAAGAAATAAAAGGACTTCCATGCCAGCTCACAGCTAATGAACATTTGTAATGTGAATGTAAACCAAAGTATTTATCTCATCACATTCCGTCATATAAAATTAAAGCAGAAAAAAGGATTAGAGAATCACAAAAGTATTTAAATGTGGTAAAAAGATATGGGTACAACTAAAAAACTTGAGAGGCTATGACGCTGTAACTCATCACATAGCGTTCAGCCCGAATCTCGAGTCCGCAATAGATATAAAACGTTCAACCCACTAAAGCCGGGGTTGTGAGATACCTACAAAATCAAAACTCCTAACAAATACACACAAACAAATCATCGTAACTTGCAGCTTCATCTTGCATAGACAAGAGAGAACAAGAAAGGGTTTCCACAACTCTTGCCTATAAAATTGCGAAAGCAGGCATATCGCTCTTCGTTTATCCGTTCATTCAATAACAATTTTCGAGGCAGATATAATCAATATATACCCTCTACGAAGGGCTGAGTGTATAATTCGACTGGAAATTGGAGCCGCAGTTCTCAGTTTCCAGAGGAAAATAACCAGGAAGAAACCTAAACTCACCAGGAAAAATATAACAAAACTAAAACGGCTGAGAAGATGCTAGAAGCGACAAGTTAACTAACACATAGGGACTGGGCACCAAGGCCATCTTGAAAATGGAAGATTGAGGGGCCACATATCATGTAGACCAACACAATATTAATAGAATCTCGGGCGAATGTGCGTTCCAGCAACTCAGTAAGATAAGAAATTGCCCTTCCCCTCATCACTTTTAGATTTTTATTTTCCAAAGTGCTCCAGAGGTTTGCAGATTGGGGAAAGGAGTACAGGCAGGTCCCTATCAAACTTTTGGCCCAAAGAGACCAGGAGTTTTCTCCAAGAAACTCAGTCCTGAACACAAAGAGGATGTGGCTGATCTGGCCGGGAAAGGGTTGGATAGAACGTGGCCCACGCATATGCTTCCTGGAGGAATGAAAAGAACTGGATAAATGATATAAGTTAGTGCAAGCTGGACGCACAGGTACAAAATTATTCATCCGTATAAATATATAAGGGAGAACAAATGTCTTTGTGAGAGTGTTTATATACATCAAGCAGGTCTTTACCTCCAGGGTTTCTTGAGGACATTGGGCTCCCCTCTCTCTGCCTCATAACTCACACACTATCTCCACTTCATCTAGCTTCTCTTGATAGACATTAGATGATGTGTCATTGCATCTCCTTCTCAGTTCTTTGAGAATCATGGCTCTGGCATATCTTAGCATACAATTAGTGACTAAGTTGATGTATTTCAGTTTCAAGCCTGTCTAGATATAACATCAGAGTCAGTTATATTACTTTTCCAGAATAGAATAGAAAAAGAGACAAATAAAGAAGCAAAGTGAAAGAGAAAAGAAAACACATAATTGACTCTTGCTCTTTTCCAATCTCAGATTCTACATTTGACTGATAAGAAGCAGTTCAAGAATAAAAATAATTGTGTTCATCTCTTTCAGATTTACTTTTCAGCTTCTGATAAATCATTCTTTTCTTCATCACATTCAACTTCTCTGTGCAAATCACAGAAAATGAAGCGATCTGATTCACTGCTCAGTTGCTGAGATCAGAGAGAAGCACAGACTTGTGACAGAGCTTGTAGAATCTGAACTGTGACTTTTTCAATCTGATCTATTTTCTCAATGATGCTTCTTCTTTATTTCAGTTACATACTGATCTTCTGAAGCAAGAATGATAATCACAGACCTGATCTGAAGTAGCAGAGAATACTGTTGTTTTTCTGAAATTCTTATCTGCTTGCACTGAAAGACACAAATTATCAATTTCAGAAAAATATGTTTGATTAAATGAGTTGAGAATATCTTCATTATTTGAACTCTTATTGAAGGTGAGATATTAATTTATAATGTTGTTGAGATTAAATATTACATTGTATATGACTCAGATCAAGAAGAATTTTTTCTTAGAGAGCTTAACTGACAGATCATGAGAGAAAAATCTTCTAACAACATCACAGAATAAATCTACTGCTTTGATACAACATGTCTATGCTAATCAATAGACAATGTTCATCATGTGATCAATCACATCATTTATGATGTCAATATGATTTTCAGTTTCAAATTTATTTTGCTGAGAGAAAGATGATCTCATTTTACTATCTTGATTCTTATCATTGTTATCTTTTTATTTTACTTCTTTCTTATGATACTTGAATATATCTTTCTTGACAAAATTGAGAGATCTCATATAGAATCTAGGAATTTGAGCTTTAAACATTTTTATAAATGATTTATGATAAATATTTATTCTAATCAATCACATGAACATCATTGTCTTTCTAAAGTTTTCATTACGTTTAGTAAAAGAAAACTCATCTGGTAATAATAGCTAGTTAGCATTTGACTGTCATTAAATAAATATATTAGATTATAAGAGAGAAATTTAGAGAAGTATTTATCTTTTTCATTCAGAGTAAAACAGGATTTGATTTTAAGTTTAAAATTGAAGATGACTGTATACATCTTCTTTAATAGTTTCAACTTATTTATATTTGAAAACAAATCTTTATTCAATCAATGAATGATTTCACTCTTATTCTGCAACAGCTTGATGAGATTTTGAAGCAGCTTAATCTCATTTAGCAACTGAAGTTTATCTGCACTTCATGCTGCAGATAAGCAATAATCAGCAATGTTGTGAACTGAGAGTCTAGAATATATACTATAGAAGTTCATTTGCATCTGATGTTGAACTTTAATATATGTTTCATCTGGCTCAAAAAGCAATAGAAGGAAATGCCTATAGAAATCTGAAGTAGCACTCTTCACAAGCTACTTAATCGAGTCTGACAGATGTCTCATTTATACTCTAAGATTAAAATCTTGTTCAAGCTGTTTGATTTATTCTTTTAGTTGTACAAGTTTGATTTTTGTAGAATCTTCTTCTGTTTCTAATAAAGATGATGTGTCACCTCTGTTAAAGAGGAGATTAAAGTGTAAAGGGTTAAGCTCTAAGAACTAGAGGCTAGTTCTCCTATATAACAAAGATGAATTGCTTGAGAAAGGGAAGAAAAGAATGAGATAAGAACTTGAGCTTAAGCAAGCTCATGTAGCATGATCATGTGCGCATGTATAAATGATGACTAGGCTGAGTCAGCCAGCCAGAGCAAATCTAGGAGTTCAACTCCTTATAATACCTCTCTTCTCCCTCTTTGTTGCAGGTCTTTATGACTATTTAAAGTCCTCTTTACATCTAATTTTGCCTGCTGAGAGGCCTTCCAAGTGTTCAAGGCCTTCACTTCTTATAGAAGACTCATGTCATTCCATGTAGACTTAGCCTAATCTACTCATTTAACAAGGTATTGCTTTTTTCTCCTGTAGATTCATTTACTCTGAATTTTCTCAATCTCAAACTCAGATCCTTCTGAGATCTCTATAGCAGATGGCTGTCAGTCAGTTTGCCTCTGACTAGGCAGGAAATCTGTTGCTGCAGTATGTAGGAGCTTTACATTAAAGATATTGTAAATGTCAGATGAGATATTCAGTCAGTAAGCATGAGATCCTATCTTTTCTAGCATAGTATATTGATTGTATTTTGTGTTCAGCTTCTTGCACAGGCAATTAGTTCTCATGTTCTCTAAGCTCAACCAGACCTTATCTCTAGGTTGAAAGCTTGAAGCTGAGTCTCTTCATCTATTCATGTATTTCTCTTGAGATTACTGAGCATCTGTCATTTTTACTTGAGCTCACTTCAACACTTCACAGATCTTCCTCATATAATTATCTGCAAACTCAATGGAATTATGTGATGTTTCAATGAGAGATGCATCAGCTATATCAATGAAGGAGATGTGGAAAAGATGTGTTAAAAAGAATGAGCTCACATCTATTGAGACAGCATCTCTATTATTGATGGTCAGCTCTGCTAGAGAGAGTCATTTACACCAGTCATTCTGTTAAAAGCTAATATACTTGTGTAAGTAGATTTCCAGAATCTGATTCATTTACTCTGTAGCTTCATCAGTCTCTGAATGATAGACTGTGAAGAGTCATCTCTTAATGTCTAATTTCTCACATATTTGAGTTCAAAACATGCTTGTGAAAGCCAATCCTCAATCTGACACTACTATCTTAGAGATGTCATGTTGAGGAATGATGTTGTGAAGAAACACTTTAGTTACTGTCTTCACATCAGTTTTCTTAACTGCTTTTAATATAATTCTCTTGATCAGTCTGTCTGTTATAATCATGATGTTCATGTATTCTTTAGAGCTTGATAAGTCTACAATAAAGTTCATAGAAAGCTCTTGCCACATGTGTTCAGGAATGAGAAGAGGCTTAAGCAGTCTCAGACATTGATCTCTTCATGCAGTGTTTGATCTGCAAAGATGACAGTTTCTGATTATTCTTCTCATATCAGCAGCATAGCCTGGCCAGTAGAACTCACATCTTAGAACTTCTACTATTTGCTCTCACCCAGAATGGCTGGTAAGAGGTGAGTCATGAGCCTCATTCACTAACCTGGTTTGAAGAGGTTTGAAGTCTGGCACTCACTTACAATCTTGAAAGAGAAGCTTCTCATTCTCATTTAAAGAGCACTCAGAGACAAAGATCTTAATGTTAAGTTCAGAAGAAAATCTGAATCTTCTCTCATGAAGAATTTGCTCCAGATGCTGCAGGATCTTGTTATTTTTGTGGGCCTCATTTCACTGAGCTTGAAGAGACATCTCAGATTTCATGCTGGCAGTAGTCACTATTGATTTCATTTCAAGTGCCAGTACATTAAACTTAAGTAGTTGAGCTTGCCTCTGCTTGATTCTCTCATCATCAGCACTCTGTGACATGTTCTGCTCTCTTCATAATAGAGCATCTGGTTCAGTGTTCAACTTCTCTGGCTGGTAATCAATTCTGAAGTTGAATTGATAGAGAATATTCATTCAATGTAGCTGTCTTTCATTTAGTCTGTGTGTAGTCATGAAGTATTCTAGATTCTTATGATTTGTGAGAATCTTGAATTCTTTTATACTTTGTAGCTCAGCATCTCATTTCTTTAAACACTCAATTATCACTAATAACTTCTTATCATGAATCTCATAGTTGCATTCCGCAGGTGAATGCTTATGAGAAAAGAAGGCACATGAGTGTAGAATGCTCTGCTCATCATATTATAGCAGTACTTCTTCTGAGATGTAATCTGAGAAGTTCATTTCCAATATAGTCTCACAGTCAGAGTCAAATTGAAGCAGGATTGAAGCAGAGATAAACATTAATTTTAGACACTTAAAAGCTTTCTCAGCCTTGCTCATCCACAAAAAAGGAACATTCTTGCATGTAAGAATTGTCAGTGGAGTCACAATCTTTGAGAAATCCCTGATAAATCATCTATAGAAATTGGCAAAGCCTAAAAATTCTTATATATCTTTAAGAGTAGTAGGTGTTGCTTATTTCAAAACAGCTTTAATCTTCTCTGAATCCATTCATATACCCTTGCCTGCTTCAATGATGAATTCAAGATATTTTGTACTGTTCATCTTGAACTCACTCTTTCTGATGTCTGCCTGTAGGCCTGCTTTTTGTAGATATATAAGTATCTTTTGTACATGCTCATGATGCTCCTATGAGCTTTTTGAGGAAAATATCAAGATGTCATCTAAATAGACTGAGCAGAAGTCATCCAGATATCCATGTAATACTCAGTTGATATATTTTTGAAATGTGCTCAGAGCATTGGCCAAACCAAAGAGTGTAACCAGTCACTCAAATAGCCTGTATCTGATTCTAAAGGCTGTCATCCACTCATCACCTTCTGTGATTCAAATCTTGTGAAAAGCTGCAATAATATCCAGCTTAGTGAATCATTTAGCTTGTTCAATTCACTATAGAGTCTCACTGATTAATGATAGAGGATATCAATTCTTTCAGGTGATTTTGTTAAAAGCTCAATAGTTCACACAGAATCTTAGCCCATTCTCAGACTTCTTCACAAATAGTATAGAGATGGCTGCATGAGAGTTGCTCACTCTAATAAAACTCTTATCTAGATAATCTGTAAGAGTCTTTTACAAAGCCAGTAGTTCCTCTTGAGATATATTATATAATAAGTTCTAAAGGGGTTGTTCTGTGCTATCATCAGTCTTTTTAATCAGTTCAATTTCATGATCTCTATATGAGTCATGAAGTGGGGGTAGAGCATCAGCAGCTTCCTTATCAAATATGTTCAAAAACTCATGATAATGTTCAGGCAGCTTTTCTCTAGAGTCTTTTGAATATCAGTCAAACTGACAGTGAAGATCTCAATGTTTTACTTCTCTTGAGTGCTCACAAGTCTAGAGAAGCTTACAGCAGAGATGAGAATCACATCAGCTTTTGCATTTGAACTAGACTCTATCTCTATGCCACTCTCTTCAAATCTCACAATTCTTTGATAAGGGATCACAGTCATCTTTTGCTGGGCCAGCCAGGGGTCATCTAGATACATATCATGACCATGTAACTCATTCACCATGTAGAAAAAGGCTCATTCAGTTACATGACCATCTATATCAATTCAAATGTCAGTCACTATGCTCATAGAGAGTCCCATGGAGTCTTCAAAGCCAGTCATTTTAACAGAGGGAATTTCAATGCACAGGAGCTTATGCTTGTTAATGTAGAATTGAGAAATAAGATCATAGACATTACATTCACTGTCTATCATTGCTCTAGTCAAAAAGGCATTATCTACTAGAGCATTGACAGTGAAGGGTTTGAATATCATCTTAGATTTAAATCTTCTTCATTGCTTTCTCATAAACTTCTTATTTCACTTCTTTCAGTGTCTTTTGATTGAAGCTACTTTTTTCTCAAATCCTCACTCATATTCACATCATTGTTGTCCAGTACCAGCTCAGGGATCATCTTAGCTATTGTGAGGGTGACAGAGCATCTGAGAGATTTGAACAGACAGCTCTTAATCATATGACCTCCAGCTCTGCATCTCAGGCACAGGCCTTGCTCTCTTTGTTGATTAACCTCTGTCTGATTTATCAATTTGACATGGTGAGTGCTTGGGATCACAGCATCAGAAGAGAGATTCATCAGATTATCAGTGAAAGCTTGAGACTGATTTCATCAGTCAAGAACAGCATAACAAAGTAGAAAGTGTGAATTAAATGTTGTATGATCTGAAGAAGATCTGTCCTCACAATGTTTAAATCACTGTCTTAAAGTCTTAAGCTCAGAGAGTTGATGATCAACTAATCTAAGCTCCCTGCAGTAATTCTTGTAGAGAGACAGTTCTCTTACACTCATCATGCCTTCCCTTAGCTCCATGCTTAGAGTGGATTTCAAATACCTCTTTTTAATGTGATTATCTCATCTGTGATCATTAGCTTCCAGTAGTAGCTGATTAAATTCAGGTAGAAAGTCAAAAAGAGCTCTTCTACTCTGTCATAAATTGTTGAGCTTTTGCATAATCTTTTCCTGTCATGCAGAATCACTAAAGAGCATGTGTGTCTGCTCCAGTAAGCTCTCTATCATGAAGTTGATCTTGTTCTTATTATTCTCAACTCAGAGATAAACTTGAGCTGCTGCCATTTCTTCCAGTCTTGAGTACACATATCAAGCACATTCCTCATTATTACTTAAAGCTTTCTCATTGATCTTAAGTTTTGATTGAAGCTTTAGCTCTCACTGAGGGTAGTGCTTCAGATTAGAATCATCATACTTCTTGCAGTCTGATAGCTTGATCTTTGATCTTCTGACTGCAATGAGTGATTGTAGATTCAATTGAAAGAGAGTTGATGTTGAGGTGTTCAAAACTTGTCATAGATTAGCTATTTCAGCTTGCTGAGCTGCTATTAAATCTCTGTTCTCACACTGGACCTGTTCCTGCTGTTGAAGAAAAGTTATTCATTGTTGTTTGAAGCTGCTGGGGGTATCTCTGCTCATTGCTTCATGTTGATCCATTTGTTATACAAGTCTGCTGCTTTATCTCATTCAGCTAGACATTTTCAATGTTGCTCATTCATTTGTTAGCACAATTGCTAATCCAGTCTATTCATATACCAGTGCTATCACTGAACTTCATGATGCAGGATTTAAGGCTCTCAATAGCCTATCATATGTCAGCATGTTTGCTGAGCTTCATGATACAGGATTAAGGCTCCCAGTGGCCTATCAATGAAAGGAGTGAAGCAATTCATAATGTAAAGGGTTAAGCTCTAAGAACTAGAGGCTAGTCCTCCTATATAACAAGGATGAATTGCTTGAGAAAGGGAAGAAAAGAATGAGATGAGAACTCAAGCTTAAGCAAGCTCACGTAGCATGATCACGTGTGCACGTGCGAATGATGGCTAGGCTGAGTCAGCCAGCCAGAGCAAATCTAGGGGTTCAACCCCTTATATAAAGTCTTCATTATCAAAGGAAAGCTCAAAAAGAGATGATTTGCCTGATTCTTTAATTGAGTACTTGGGAGCACTCCTTGTAGTGAGTTCTGGATTGGAAGGGAAGCTCTCAACTATTTCATACCTAGTCCTAGGTAAGGGCCCATAAATGCCTGGCTGCAAGCCTTGGAAGAGGTTTTCATCTCCATCAAAGTAACAAGACATGATAGATAATTAACAAGCAAACCTAATGGCAATTCATGAAATGTATCTGGTTGTACTCTTATCTGTCTTTTCAATGATGTATATAGAGGTGCTGATGTGTTAGAGAAGACTATATACTGACTATATACTGTATTTGAGAGAAAAAGGTAAATGATGAGATGTGCAGGAGAGAAACAATGCAATACATATCTCAAAGAGCATTTAAGTTGAAACAGTATTGACTGAGAAGAGAAGAGATGTAGAAACAAAAAGAGATTTGTGATGTTGTCAAAAAATCTAATTGAAGGAGAATTGATACCGCAACATTGGAAATTTCCAGAGCAACACAAAGGAAGTGTGCAACCTCATGAAGGACACATCAACATCAAAGACCATGAGAAAAATAAATAAGCTGCCGGGAGATTTAAGAAAATAACAACCTAGGTTTGGTTAATAACCCATTTTAATAAGATAATCGAATAGTGCCATGTTGGCATTCTGACCATACAAGATGATAAATAACATCTTGCGTTTATATCCAAAGCCGGCCTGGTCAAATTTTGTGGAGAGAAGACTATATCCCAAGCGAAGAAAGGGATAGGAGAGATAATAACTACTTTCCCAAACATGGGTCAATTGAAGGTATGGGATCCGAGGAAAAGAATGGCGATGGGAGGGTAATATGGAAGGGAGGTAAGCTATGCCGTAACGGCCCAGCGACGATCCCCCTCAAAACGAAGAGCTTGCAAAAGACAAAATACAAACTGAATACCAACTTTCATAATTTTGATTCATGAATAGTGGATAACATGGTTATGGGAAAGCTTCGAGGAGAGAAAAAGAAGAGGGTGGAAATATGAAGGGAAATCAAAAAGCAATATGGGTGGTGGGATTAGGTTTGAAATCGGCATTCAGAGTCCGGAAATGGCCCACGGGAATGATCACCACAAGTCCCATACATACATGCATGAATCCTGGAACATTGTCCTAACACCTTCAGGGCAGAAGGCCATAGACAGAAACAGAGACAGAGGTATCATCCTCAAAAAAGTAAATGCCCTGAACGGAGTCACTCTTCTCGAGAGGTATTGTTTTTTGCGTCACAGACGAGACCGATAAGATGTCTAAGCAAAAGTTCCCGAGAGTTTGCTCATCTCTCACTGACGCCGGGGCTCGTTGCTGTCGTTGCTGGCCGTCGGTTTTGACGAGGTACACTATCGACATGCTCACCAGAGCCTGGCTGGAAGAATTTATATATCAACGACCGTGGAGCTGAACGAATGACTTAACAATTCAATTATTAAGCTTTTCGGAACAATCAGGGCTTGCCACGCGAACCAGGGAACGTGGGCGGTTGGCTGCCGCTCTCATTATTCAGGCTAAGTTTAATAATTTAGTTTGCCAGCGTTTCAGAAACGAGCAGCAGTGCCCCCACGAGCAGCAGTGCCAGACGAACAGCGGGTAGAAAGATGTCGCAAACGGTTAGGCTCTGGAGGATGAGAGAGGGGAGGCTCCTTTCCCATGCAACGACTGTACCGGGGGCTTTGATAGAAGCCCTGATTAGATGATTTCAATCAAGGAGATTTTACACCGCTGGCGTATCAATTGCGGGCTATGAGCAGTCCGTTCTCCGTATGGCAAGCTAGCTGGCCGCGACAAGGCAGCCGTGCGTGCGTGCGCGTCGTTGGATAGTACGATATTGGTTGTCCAACATCGGCTGTGCTGAATTTAAATTATTTGTAAATTAACTGAGTGGTTGGAAAACAGCTGATTTAAGCTTAAATCAACCGCACGGAATCCTTCCACGGACGTGGTTTAGTCAGCAGAAACAAGAACCTCAGCAGCCAACGGACAAGAACAACGACAAGATATGAACGTTTTTAATGCACATGCATAGAGAGGGGGGGGAGAGAGAACGGAAACAAAACATGCATCCGAGCTGTGACGGTCGATCCTCCGATGGCTTCTCTTTGACACTGCTCCGCTGGACAGCTGTTGAGTGGGGCTGTGTGGTTCCAGCGAAAGTGGCTGGTGTGGGACCCTGTTACTAATTGCTTCGAGTGTTTGACCCGACAAAAATCCCAGAGGCAGAGAAAGATCGCTGCTCGGAACTTCAGTCTGCAGAACGAGGGAGCGATCAATGGATATCCGATGCTAGTGAAACAGTTTATTGGCCGTTTGGCCATCCTTCATTACAACCATTAGTATTTTCATTATTCTTATGCCGAATCACAATGGCTGGAGCTTAATTGTGACGCTGACGATCGCTTGGCAGGAAGTATGTAGACATTTTTTTTTTTCCAGGATTAATAAGATAAACTTCCGGTTTCCGAGATATGGCAACACCGCGGAGGAAATGGGAAAAATTGAGGTCACAAATGGCACAAGCAAAACAAGGCTCGTTGTGATGGGCGATGATAATAATGCTGATGCATCCATATCAGGGCAATTGTTTTCTTTGTCCCAATCGCCACCTTGTCTTACCCACTGTGCCACGAGAGTTAGCTCTACAAAACCGACAATAGATTTGCTTGGCCGCAAGAAAAAAAAAAAAAATGAAAAAGAAAATGAAAAGGAAAAGGAAAAACAAGGGTAAAATCGAGAGAGAGCGCGAAATGTGGGGGGGGAAAAACCCAAAACCCCCCAAAAACAACAAAAAAGAGAGAACATAAAAGCACGCGTCATCACCGATCAAGCATCAACCGTGTGGTATTCTCGTAGGCTCGGGGTTTTAGCCCGAAGAGTTAGCCCAACAGCGATCGCCAAAAAGCCCGCTTGGTCAAACGCAGACGGAGAACCTGCAGCTCCTGGCGACGGTTGGCTCGCCCTCCATGGACCATGACCCATCGGGCCGGCTAAAAAAGCCAAGTCAAAGGACGGGGAAGGCTGCCAAGTGACACTTAGGCTGTGCTGACCAGTGACAAGGCGTTTCTGCCTAAAGGACATCCGGTTGGGGTTCAGATTTCAGAGGAGAAATGACTCCAGCACTCCGTGGGGAATGTGGCTTGAACCAACGATCAATGAATCATCCCTGACATTATTCTGGCAGCCCGAGGAGCCATGACAGGCTAGAACTCCCTGATGAGCCATCATAGTTGAAATTTTTTTTTTTTTTTTTTTTTTTGTGTTTGCTTTTTATTTTGTTTTATTTTATTTTTTAAGTTGTGCATTACTTTCCGCCACTACTGCATTATCTATATGTGAGAATCAAGAATATGAAGGACATAAAGGGAGGGAAGGATTATATCTATTATCCAGGGCTGGGCGTCTGAGACGACAAATGATACGGTTGATTGCAGGATGCTTAACTGAGACATTGTCCAGCGCCAGGTAACTATTAGTGCCAGGTGTGAGGATACAGGGAAGAGAGAAGAGGGAGAGAGAAAATTAAAGTAGACTCTGGCGCAGGCAAAATGAGAGACCTTTAGAAACAAAGCAGAAATCCGGCCGACCTCAGGCGGGCGAGTAGATTCTTTCTTATACCGCCATCCGCCGTAATTATGTGCAGGATTTATGATGATTATTTCGGTAGTTTATCTTGCCGGGCTCCTCCAAACAAAGCTGCTAGATCTAAAAAACCCCAACTTGACAAAGGCCAAATCTCTTTTGATCTCTCATCTCTCTCATCAGTGTCTCCTTTTGTTTTGCTTTTAAAGTTGAGTTTGGAGATTGGCCCCGGTTGACTTTTCAGTTGAATTCTCTGGTGCGGATCTGACCACACAACCTTAACCGTCCCGTCCCACCTGACAGTGGCTGCTGCTGGCCACCGACACTACGACACTACCTGCCCCACACCCGCGCCTTAACACACACCAACACGCACAACACGCCGCCGTCGCTCTCTTCTCCCACCGCCTCTTCAACACCTCCACTCTCTTTGCTGTCTTACTCTTCTATCTTCTCTTCTACTTCTTCTCTTCTTCTTCTTCTTCTTCTTCTTCTTCTTCTTCCCTCGCTCTCCTACTCCTTGTCCCAGACTGTCATTCTCTAATACCTAACTACCATTCCTATTCCACCATGGGTTTGACATGACTAGTTGATGCATTCCTCGCCCCGATAGCCGCCTGACATCATCACCCGCCCAATTCCTCCTGCAGATCTTAACATTACTCGTCCTTGCTTACCCGCAACATTCTAACCTCCTTGGATCATTGTGCTTTGACCTCCACGTTTATCTGTCTCTCACGGGAAAAGAAAACATACCGTTCAGTCGAAATAACGGATCTAGTATTCGGTGAGAGATACAGAGAGTTATAGCTCTCTCTCTGTCTCTCTCTCTCTCTCTTTTTTTCCTTGTAGGCTGTTGCACAGCTACTCTGCGCGTCTCACAGTTCCTGGCTACCTTGGGGGGGGCTTCCTTTCGGCCGGAAACATGGGTCGATATCGGGGTAAGTAAATATTTAGTTATCTTAAGCCTGGGGAAAATCATCCCTGAATCGAGTCCTCTACGTCACCTTAAAAAAAAGACCGTTATTTCTACAACCCTGGCATACTCCCTCCTTTAATCACGCTACCTAGGCGCAGATTCCAACCTTGGAAGGTTGCTAAAACTGCCTGTGTGATCATCTAGTCTTTTCTTTTCTCTCAGCCAATAGAGCCAACTCGAAGGATGATGGATCGTCGACTTCTCCAACTCCAACTGCCTTCTTCTCGCGCCAGAGGCACAACGCTTACCCTCTTCCTATCGACAAAGTCCCCTCCAATACATCCGTGAATGCACAGTCGAATACATTGAAGCAGAAGGTGGACCAGCCGCTGCCGAGGCCGGCTTCTGCTGCCTACTTGCAATCGCCTCTCATGGACGTGGCTCCAGAGACTGTCCCTGAATTAGAGCCCGTCTTCAATTACCTGAGTGGCCAGGCAAACAAGCTCTACCAGGAAGGTTACTTGTTAAAACTAAATGATTTAGATATTAGTATGTGACTCAAGTTCCCCTGTCGGGATTTTCTTCTTCTTTTTTCTTCCTTCGAAATGAAATGAAGGAAAGAACTAATTTGAAAGTTTTGGTTCAGATGGTCGATCGTTTCAAGACAGACAATGGGTGGATTGCTTTGCTCAGTTGATTGGTACTGTCCTTTCATTATGGGACTCAGCTGCGCTGGACGCAGCAGGTCCAGAAGGAGACGCTTCACCAACATTCATTAACCTAGCTGATGCATCAATCAAGATGGTATAACCCCCTGCTTTTCTTTTGCTAGGAAATCTACTATTTCCAACCATCATACATAGAAACTGCACAGAAAAATTGACATTACAACCAGATTGAAAGTCTGCCCACTCGAAATGAAGAAAGCAAATCCCTCCAAAATATTCTTAGCGTATCAACGGCGGGAAAGAACCGATACCTTCTCCATTTCTCTTCAGTACATTCATTAACTCAGTGGACAGCCGCCATCCGAATCTCTATGTTTGAAAATACCCTGTTGCAGGAGTCCTACACGGGTGCGCTTATTGCGGGGAAAGGGAAGGCCCTGGTTGGCATAAGGGGTATCCTGGAAAAGACATGGTTCGTCTACGAAGACTGGGCCCGTGTTAGATTCGGCCCGGGAACTCCTTGGAAGCGATGCTGGTGTGTCATCTCACCACCTGATGAAAAGGAGTTTCAGCGAATGAAAAAGGAACAGAAAAAGAAGTCAGTCTACGACCGAACTATCCCCTTATTAAAGGGTAATATCAAGTTCTATGAAACCAAGAAGACGAAAAGGGTCAAGCCGATCGCTACAATCACCGACGCATATTCCGCTTTTGCCATTTATCCCCAGTCCCGACCTCTAATTGACCAGTCCACGCTGGTGAAGGTGGAAGGCCGAATAACGATACACTCTAAACCAGAATCAACTGCGGATGGATTTGTTTTTGTTTTACCAGAGATTCATCCTGGAGTCTCTGGCTTTGAGATGATGCTTCGATGGCTGTTCCCGGTTTATGACACATTTGGGCTCTATGGTCGACCAGCGCGACTTATCGCGGATACTCAGAATACCCGTAGCTTGATGTTTGCGCTTCCAAAGCACCAACAATCTGGATATCTTGATATTCTTGATGTTACGGCACTTATACATACCGAAGGAAGCAATAATTGGAGTGAACGGGAATGGCGGAAGGCGATGAAGGAAGCTACAGCTAGACGAATGGCCACGAGCAGCAACAGTCGAGAGAGCAGCGTCGCGGGAAGTGGGCGTTACAATCGAAGCAGTCTCCCTTCTGGAAGTGGCACGTCGTTGAGGTTCATGAACGGTAATTCAAACCCTCCAACCGGCAAGGCGGAGTTTAACCACTCCAGTGATGCGGTGAATTCAATGCTTTCCAAAACTAGTCATGGTGTTGCTGGAGCAATGTCAGATCGCGGTCAAGTAACCCCGCCTTCCATTTCATCTCTCGAAAAAAGCTTGCCTGAAGAGGATGAATATGCACCGCAGCCGCCAGCGCACCAGACCTCCCAGAACAATGGAGTATATGGAACGAATGGGCAAAAGCAGAGGAACAATTCGACAAACGATGTCCAAGAGCACCAGACACTGGAGCATCAGGCCATCGCTAGTGGTTATCAACCAAACCCGCCTCCCGCACCCGTATCAATGCCCCCAGCTTTCTTGCATGACCCCCGAAGTTTGCCGCCCGTCAGGCCCCAACCATCTCCAGACATTCAAAAAGCAGGAAGCCGCGTGTCACAAGGGACACTGTTCCAGATGGTGGATATAAACATGGCGAAGAACATGGCCACCGCCGGCGCCGCGGCAGCTTGGGATGACAAGAACTCGGCTCCACAGTCGAATGATCAAGGTCAGAACGGGGTAGCGGAGAATCATGGTGACCACGAGCAGAGTTCCACTAACATGAATTTTTCATCCCAAAGCCCAATAATATCGCCTGACAACACCCCGAGACTGCATTATCCTCAGACTGCCCAGACCCCTAAAATAAAAGATCCCACCCCATCCCAAGATTCCTCGCGTCCCAATTCCTTTGACAGACGGAGCTCTAGAGCAAGCTTCCTTTCTCTCGATACCCACAAGGCAACAACCCGAAAACTAGTTGCCGCCCACCAGACATATGAAATCCCGTGCTCTAGCAAGGCCTCGAGCCTTGGAAGCTTCCGTAACACAATTGATACTGAGGCTTTGGATCGAGTCGTGGCTCGAAGGCGGTCTCCGTCCCCGCCCACCGATATTATTTCCAACGATGAAGAAAGCGTATACGACCGAAACTCTGTATCTAGCCCTGACTATGCTAGCTCTCACAGATCCTCAACCTCACAGCGGTCGGAAAAGTCCATACCAAAGCCAAGAATGGGAGTGTTGAAGGTGATTGGAAAGGATGATTCCGAAGTCGCGATTGGTGATGTGCGCTACTACCATGCCGACGCCCTGGCCTCCCAGAAAAACAATCCTGATATACCCCTTGTGGACTTTGGACCCACCCAAGCGTATGTGCCAACTACCAGACGGCCTACATCAGCAGATACCCTGGCCCTTTTAACCCATAAGCGCATTCCTTCCGATCATGTGGTTAGCCGCGACCGGGACGAAAGGCGACCCTCCCCTGGAAACGGGAAAACGAGTCACAGTGGTACTAGCAGTGACTCTCACCTCCCCAACACTTCTTCCACCGATGACCATCGTCGGAGTGCAATCTGGCAACCGGGGATGGTAAGGGAACGAGCCAGCCTTGGTGCTTGCATTACACCGAAACAGTTTGTGAAACAGAAATTAGAGGCTAATCGAGGCAGCCTTCATGTGCGTGTCTCATCGGGTGCTAGTCAGCCTCCCCGTCCCGCATCTGGCGATTGGACCAACTACAACCGAAAACAGTCATCGATGATACAAGATATGCCTGTGCGGCCTCACTCACGTGGTGCCAGCGTCATGCTGGGCGCGTCAGGGCACGGAATCTCGCCGCCTGCCAGACCAGCATCTGGAGACTGGGCCAATACTACACGCCAACAA